GAGGTATAATTTAGACACTTAAAAGTGTTTTAAGAATAAAAACAAAGGTTAAAGCAATCTATATTATTTGGGGTGAATACAAATAGAGACAAAATGGAAAAATATTTAGTTAGATTGGTGCATACATTTACATATGAAATGAGCATAGTTTTTCCGATTTCATTTTTGCCATAGAAGACCATGGAAGAAGTGAAGGATTTTTTTTTAAATGTTTTTTTAAGGTGGGGGTTAAAGTAGTTAATCAAAGAATGTAAATTTGTCAAATATTGTTAATTCAATCGACCAAACGTGCTATATAATACTTCTATGACTAAAGTAACAACTGTTAAAATTTGAGTGACAAATTTATTACAAAACGATTATGTTAGAAATTATTTTTTTATTTTTAAAACTTCAATATTAAAGAAAATAAATTTACCCTTAAATAAAATTTTCGAAAATCAGATTAGAAAAATAAAAAATGAGTTAAATAAAGAATTAAATTTGTATTGTTGAACTATATTTTGATATAACAATTAAGGCAAAATGTTTTTGAACTTGAATTGAATTTATTCAAACCTTTCAAAGTTTTTCAAAAATAATTCAAAGTCCTTAAAGCTTGGAATTGAGCACAAAACGGTTTTTTTGGACAAGTAGTAGCGATATTATTCTTACAGTATCGATACGTAATGAACAAGTACTGATATTGTTCATATGGTACCGATACCAAAGATAAGGGAAGTATCGATACTCACTAGGTAGTACCGATACTACCAGTATTGCTCAAATTCCAGAATGCAAAAATGATATCGATACCCAAAGGGGTACCGATACTACTCTGTATAGTGGTATCGATACCCAAAGCATAGTATCGATACCATGAGGGCCCAACGGCTATTAACGACTAGTTGATTTAAATATTAACAAAGGTACTATTGATACTCCCTTTAGGAGTACCAATACCCCTTGGTCTGAGCAACTTTATTTTGCACGAAAATTGATCCACAACGGCTCCAAACCACCTACAACGACTAAAAACGGTCACAACAACATTCCAACACATAAATACAAGTTGAGAACACTTGAAGAAGGGTTAGAACACCTATCCAAGCAATCAAACACAAGAGAAGAATTTTTTACTCTTTATTTCAATTCTCTTGTAAATATTTTGTTCTTGTGAGCTTTTAATTTGTAAACACCCTACCTTAGAGAGGTTTTTCTTGTTTACATTTCTTTTCATTTGTAAAGGGTTTTGGTTTTATCTTAGCCAAGTGAAAAAGATAGGGAGTGTAAAGGTTATCTATTTGTCATTGAAAAAAAAGGAACAAAATAGTGAATTTGTTAGAAAATCCTTAATGAGGAGCTAAGGTAGTGGATGTAAACTTGGTCGATAAGTCGAACCACTTTAAATTTTTGTGTCTTATCTTTCTATCTTTTTCTCTCCTTACTCCCTTATCAAAATTATTGTCAATTACTTTCTTTGCACATTTTCGATTGTCAATTTGAGCATCTTCATAATCACAACATATATAACATTTTAATGATGAAGATTGAATTTTTAAAATTAGAATCAAACTGTAATAATATAAAAAAATAAATATTAGATGTATCATTACATAAATATTACATTTATTAAATTAAATGATTATTTTTATAATTTTTATAATTAAAATATTAATAAATGTCTTATAATCAATATATTATATGCGTTTTACTCTAAATTAATTAATTTATAAATCAATGATTTAACATATTCCATGTAATATCCCAAATTTTGGTTAGTGACTAAAATGTAACTTTTGAAAGTTTGATGGTCAAAGTATAAACTTGGAAAATTTTAGGGAATTAAGTGATGAAGTTCCTAAAAAAAGAATTTTATTATATAAATAGATAGTTTACTCTTGAGAGTGGGGTTTTATGGAAATTATATTTTGGATTTAGAATTTTAGTAAAGAAAAATTAGAAGGTTTAAAGCCGGTAAGGAATCGGTAATTTCAGATTAAATTGGAATTTTATAAAAATTTGAAGGATGTATAAAATGGTTGGAAATATTATTTTAATATTTTGGATCAGAGAAATTTGGTTTGGAAATGTGCAATTTTTCAGATTTAACCAAAACAGTGGAATATAGTGACTAAAACGCAATTTTTGAAAAATCATGGGAATTTTCATAAATCAAAGTCAAAATAATTCATCTTTGACTTTGAAAGATGATAAGGATGAGGTGTATATGTTTTATGGTGAATATGGAGATTCTTTAATGGAAAAAATGGAATTTCTTATTGATTTGAATAAAAAATGTCATTATGTGATATTATGTCATGTGATGGATTATTTAATATTAGACTATCAATAATGGTGGAGCATTTTCAGCTTCTTCCTCATCCTCATCCAAGCTTTCCGTGGGTTTTCTCCTAAGGTAAGAGAAAACTTCAACTCAATTTTCAAGCAATTTACTTAGGATTTTGAGAAAGTTATAAATAGAAAATTGTTATATACGAAAAACGCTATCATTTGGTACCAATATTGCATGATATTTTTGTTGGTGTGCAAAGATCCCAAATTTTATATGTTGTGTTCATATAAAGGGATAATGAAATTGATGATAGATCTTGATGTTTGTGAAATAGTTGATTCATATTCAAGCATGTATGATGATTAGAACATGTTAAATCTTTCTAGAACTTGTTCTTTATGTTTTGGCCATGGATTGTGTGAGTGAGAAAAATTATGGAAAAATTATATATGGGTTGGAAATGATGAAAGAAGTATTCTACAAGTCTTAGGAAAAATTTGAGGACCATTTCATAATTTTTGGAAAAGTTGGTTCCAATGTTAAAAAGAATCATTAAGAGATAAGTATTTTGATAGATAATGAGTTTCAAATATATTATGGAGTTATTTTGGGATATGTTTATGTTAGCATAAAAACTAACATATGTTTTGTTATGAAATTGTGAATTATACAGATCGTAATTGATTTGTGATCGAAGCAAGTCAAATAGAAAAGGGTTTATTGTGGACAATAGTGAGGCACAAATATTTGGAAAAATTATAAAGTGTCAAGGTGAGTGCAATACATGTATGACATTATACATGGATGTTTTAGACATCATCAGGAAGACTTGCGATAAGTCGACCTTGCTTATGTTGACATAATATTTATGTCATTTATCATATATTTGATATATTCTAAATATGTCAAAGGTTGAAAATATAATGCATTGATTATGGAAATTGTGGTATTTTACCATGAATATTATTTCGGGTATGAATTGCCCAATGTTAAATTATGATAATATACTTTGCCATGGATGGATCAAATAAAATAGACTGTATGCCCAAGTCAGTTATTGAGGGACAGGGTATAGTTGGCATGCCATAGAGTCCAGCAGCAGGCTGCATATGGGATACACTAAAGGATACCTAGTGTATATGGTGGGTACGACCTTATGTGACATACGAGACTGTACTTAAGGATACCTAGTACAAATGGTGGACACGACCTTATGTGTCATACGAATTAGCACTACGGTGCTTATATTTGACTCGTGTACCTAGGGTCCTCAGGGTTGTATATTGGGCTATTGGCTATTGTTTATGGTTATTGTCTATGGTATATGGTTATGGAATAATGGCAAGTGTATTGGTAAAATAAGCTTACGAGCTTATGGGATAAATGGTAAAAGATTTTATATTATTTTGATCATGGTAAAATATTGGATACGAAAATAATATGATTTTATAGCATTTTGAATTTGTCATTGAAACTCATGCATGAATTGTATTGCACTGTATATTGTTTTAATTGTCTCATTAAGTATATACTTAGCGTGTGATGATTTTTATGCGTAGGTAAAAAGATAGTAGTGGAATAAGGAGTGCAAAGCGACATCAAGCATCAAAAAGTATATTTCTATATCAGTAAAACATCATAAGATGTAATGTTGACTTTATTAGTGGCATGTAACTATTAATGTTTTAATTGCTTTGTTGAACAAATTTGGAAACAAAATTGTAATTTTATGAGTTTTGTATAATGCTGAAATTATTGTAGCAATGCATCTATACACAATTATGATTCAAAATTTGGTGCATCGATGCACTGTTCACATTACTGTAGCAGTGCATCGGTACACTATTCACTGTTCACAGCACTATTCATAAAAAAACTTTTGAATTAAATTTGTTATAGTGAAATATAAATTACATGATATAATATTTTTATAATATCAGTTATCATTTTAAGAAAATAAATTTTAAATCATTCCAGAATTGAAAATGGTTTTAAAAATTCGGGTGACATCTATAATCTTTATAGGTATAATTATACGGGTTATGGGTGTTACATTCCAATATCGAATAAACTTAAGGGCAAAGTATATAAATAGTTCTTCGACTATAGGGTGATGTTTTGTTAGTCCCTCGACTATTAAAAGTTACAAAATGGTCATTCGACTATATGATGTTGCTTTGTTGAGTCCCCAACTATTAAAAATTATGAAATAATCACCTGACTATTTAGTATGTTCTAAACTTGTCTTTTATCGTTAAAAATTGACAACATTTTGAGCTGGATGTTAACTTTTTGGCTGAGATATGATAAGCTTTTTAGATTTTGAGATCAAATTTTATCATATCTAAGTCATCATGTTAACATCCAGCTTAAACTGTTGTCAAATTTTTAACAAAAAATGATGAGTTTGAACATACTAAATAATCGAGTGACCATTTTGTAACTTTTAATAGTCGGAGACTCAACAAAGTAACACTCTATAATTGAAATACCATTTTGTAACTTTTAGTAGTCGAAAAATTCAATAATGCATCACCCTATAATCATTGGACTATTTGTGTACTTTACCCTAAACTTAAACAACAAGAAAACTCTTAAAATCCTAAATCGCTTTCCACCGGCATCATCACGTGACAAAAATCCCAATTCTCTCTTCTTATCTCATACCCTTTCGAAAACCCTAATTTCACATTAATAAATACAAATATAATTGTTAAAATTTAATAAGGAAAAAGATTTGTTTTCCTCTTCCAAATTCCTATTGAACTTTGTGCAAACCCCCATGGATTTTTTCAGGTCTGTATTTGCCGACGATGATGATATTCAATCCCAGCCCTCGCATCCAACCACCGACCCGTATCCGAACCCTGGATCGAATGCTACGTGGAGTTTCGGCGGCCTAATAAAAACCCTTGCCGAGAAGTCGGAATCCGTGGTGGAATCTTACCGGAAGGACTTTGAGGAATTCGGATCCGGGTTAAAGAAGGAAACCGAGATCATCCGGAGCGTGGCTTCACGTGCCGTCAACGATTCCCTTGAGATAGGCGCCACCGTTGCACAAGAGAAGCTGGAGTCGGTGGGACAAGCCATTGATGACATCGGTATCTCCGTTTGGAAATCAACGTCTCAGATCATATCACACGGTAAAGACTCGTTCTTATCACCGTCTGATGATGATAATTCTGATTCTGGAAGTTCTAGTAATAGACGATTAAGTATTATGAGTAATAATAGCATTAATGGAAAGCGTTACAGTCGCTTTGAGATGCAAATTCGAGTGCTTCAATCAGACAGAAGTACTTACTGTATGGAACCAGAGGATTTGGAGGATTTTGAGAATTGGAAATTAGGGTTTAATCTGGAAGAGAAAAAAGGGGAAATTGAGGATTTGTTAAGTGAAAATCCAGTTATTCGAAATATTTTTAAAGGGGTTGATTCTGATGAAGGTGAATCAAAGAGATACTGGTGTAATTATTTTTACAAGCTGAATAGGCTTATGAAAGCAGAGGAAGCCAGAGCTAAGCTTGTTAATCGTGCTATTTCAGGAGAGGATGAAGAAAATTTGAGCTGGGATATCGATGAGGACGAAGAGGAGAATAGTGGAAACGTTAATACTGAGGAGGGTGATTCAAGTAAAGATGTTGACAAGGGTTCAAAAATCGATGAAGAGAAAGTAGGTTCGTGCAAGGATAGTGATGTGTCTGTGGTTTCGAGTCTGTCTATGCCCGAGGAGGAAGGGTGGGATGCAATTGAGGACATTCAAAGCATCAATGACAATAAAGGGGAAGATGTGGGAAACAGTACTAGGGTTGATCTGCGTAAGCGGTTGACTGTTGCAGAGGAAGAAGAGGATTTAAGTTGGGATATCGATGATGAGGAGGAGGATCAACCGGTTAAATCTTGATATAGCATCGGTCAGGTTCCTATAAGGTGATTTGGTTTTTAATTTTAAACATAGTTTACATATATGATAAAAGATTACTTAAACATTTAGTTCATTAGTTAAATAGTTCTTAGTGAGTGAACTCAATAATTCAATTGTATGTCATTTTTCTATCTTTAAATGTTTATAAATTCTAGTCAGTTCCATGTAAAACATTTGGGGTAATTCTGTTTTGTTCAAAATTCATTCTACATCTTGTATGTTTGATCCAATGTTAACATGTTCAATAAGTGATGAATGTGATTCTTCGATGTTCTTTGTCGTAATCTATGTTTCTGTTTGCAGTGATGAATGTATTTGAACAGACTTGCCTATGCTTTCATTGGATTTCCCTTTTCGTATGAATGCCCGCATTCCGACACCACATTACGATCTTATTGCCTCACTTGATACCTCATTCACATGAATATAGTAACAAAATTATCTGTATTTTTTTGGGAGGCCATTTGTATGTCATTGCAGTGATTGTTTGCAGTTAGGGGAAATTGATGTTATGCTGGATTCATAATATCAGTTTGGTGTCGTTAGGGACGGCAAACAGGTACAATTTCGTGGATTTCACACTGCACTCGTACTAATTGGGGTGGGGATGGGTATATGTTTAGTGGATAGTGGGTGGGTGTGGATGTAAAAAGTTATACCAGTTGTAGGTAGTGGGTAGGTGATGGGTTTAGGACCTTACCCGCCTCGCATCCGTCCGCTCACTAACTACCCACCATATAAATTTTAGATCATTATGAATTTAGGTATAATTTCAGAGACTATTATGTAAATCTTAAGATTTTATAGGACATGACTTGTAATTTAATGAAATGTTAGAGTATAAACATTTTTAGAATTGAGTCGTTTCTCTTGTCTCAAATTCTCAATCTTTAGAATTAGTTGGATATTAAGTGTAGGGGTGGATTTGATAATGTACATGCGTGAGTGGATGTAGATTTAAAAATTTTACCTGTCGTGGGTGATGGGTAGGTAGTTAATAAGAAAACATTAGGTGAATATGTGGACGGGAAAAGGGTATCTTCACCCGCCCGTCCGTTTGTCATCCCTAGATGTGATCACGAATTCTTTTGCTTTTTGTTGTTAAATTAACACCAGGGGCCACTCTTTTATGCCTTTTGGATATGCATCTTTTGGCTAATCATCTGTAGGAGATAAAAACTCGGTTCTACACAAAAATATGGATTTTTTTTATTTCAAGATATCCTTTTTTTTCACTTTATCTTTTTGCAATACAATCCCCTAATTTTAATTTTTTCAATTTTATTTGGTTCTCTAACAATAACTTTTTACAAATTATTTTTCCATCAATTTCATAATTCCTTATACTTACCTTAATATTATGTCTTTAAAATCTCATTAATTTTAGATAGTATTTGATTTATTAAATAATATTATAAAATTTACTTACACATATTAAAAAGATTATAAATTATATATTTTAAATTGGATGATCTACATCGAACGTTGTATATCGATATACACCATTAATGCAACACACTGAAATGCACCAATAATTTATTTAAGTATATTTTGAAAGGATGGGGACCAAAAATATAATTATCCATCTTTTGAATATGAATTTAGTTTTAACATGAATTTAGCTGAAGTAGGTTCGTCTTCTCACTTCTGGTTCTATGGTGAAGCCAACAGGAGAAAAGCAGGCATTGTGTTGATAGAGGATGATGGTGGTCCCACAATGAAGCTACTCCCTCGGTTGGTTCAACGTTCGAGATCTAAGTCCGTCAACTGTGGAAGTCAGAGCTTCTCGTGCTATTTCTTCGAGAAAATCTCGGGTTCGAGGATTGCACTCTTAGACGAGTTGAATCTGAAAGGGAAGGCAAACCAAAGACTTCCACCATTGCCGTCCACACATTATCTGCGATGAAAGAAAGGGTCTAATGCGGTGGCATTTTCGGTAGTTTCATCATCACTTTATCGTCATCGTCGTAGTAGCTATCGTATTCAGCCCAAGCAGAAGATACCTTCTTCTCCGACACCAACCTCTTCATCGCATCTCTTCCTTCCACTTTCCTCACCGTTCCTGGCCTGCCAAAGTTTGCTGTCACTGCCCTAGTAACGGCTGAGCCGAGTAATCACTCCTTTAAAACAAAACACGAAATCATTAACAATAACCATAAAACATAATAAAAAAAATACTTTGTTACCTGAATATGGAGACAAAGACCATCGAAAAGAGAAGCAACGAGGTGCTTGAGGAAGAAAGAGAGCGAGCCATGACGGGGGAGAAACGTTTCAAACTAAATTTATATTCAAAAGAGGGAAAATTATATTTTAGGTCCCTATACTTTTAAAATATATAAAATAAAGTTAGTAGTGCATTTCGGTGTTTTACATTAGGGGTGTTTTGGAAACAATCAGTTTTGTAGAATTTTCCTTATAAATTTTATATATTTAAAAAGAATTGTTTAAATTGAAAACAATCAGTATTGTAGGATTATAAATTTTTAAAGTTCAATACGATAGAAGTTTTAAGAAAATATATTCGATTAAATTTTTTAATACAATTTAAATATAAAACAATAATTTTAAACTCAACTAATTTTATTTGATTGCATATTCATTAATATTTAAACCATAATTAAACTTTAATTTTGAAAATACATTAGATTGGAAATACAACATTTAAAAAATACATTTGCTTGGTAATACAACATTTGGAAAAAAAAATTATATCTAACATATAATAAAACACGACCCGTCAAATGTATTTTTATAACGTTGTCACTAAATTAAAATTTATTTATTTTTTTATAATATAATGTTATTTCTGTTGATAAAATACTATCATATAAGCAGGAAAATGTGTTTTGAATGTGCTAAATGAAACAAAATTGTAATTAGGCCAAACTAATTTCGGATATAATCATATATATAACGGGACATAAATATTAAAATAATTTTTAAATGGTATTATTGAGATTTAAATTAAATTTAAATTCATTGAGTGATCTTAGTGATTAAGTGAGTGTTGTTTTCCCTTAAGATCATGTGTTTGAGCAGTTTATCTGTAGGATATATGTACATTATCAATAATAAAAAGATTATAAATATATGAGAACTATAACGGGACATAAATATTAAATAATTTTTAAATGGTATTATTGAGATTTAAATTAAATTTAAATTCATTGAGTGATCTTAGTGATTAAGTGAGTGTTGTTTTCCCTTAAGATCATGTGTTTGAGCAGTTTATCTGTAGGATATATGTACATTATCAATAATTAATAAAGATTATAAATATATATGAGAACGTGTTAATTCATGTATGTTACTCTTTTATGCCTTTTGGATATGCATCTTTTGGCTGGTCATCTCTATTCCCTTGTAGCCCTATACCTCCTCCATTGTAGATGTAGGAGATAAAAACTCGGTTCGACACAAAAATATTGATTTTTTTTTTAATTTCAAGATATTCGAGTTGTGTAAGTTAAAGAGAAATTTTCTTCGAATTTTGAGTTTGAGTTGAGTTTGGATAGTTGAAAAATTGAGAACTAAAACTATGTTTTTGGTCTTTAATTGAGTAATTTGATATTTTATGATTTGGTCCATATTTTTCTTTTTGTTTTTCAATTCATCCATCGTTTTAAGAAGTTTATTTTGACTAAATTCTAAATTAGAATACATGTGTTGTAACACCCTAAACCCAATTTGGGCTTAACGTGTCACATTGGGTTGTCAAGGCAACCACTAATTCATAACTGTTATAAAATAATTTTACAAACAAGAGCTCCGTGACACATAGTTTAAATCAATAATACAACTCAAAGTTTGTAAATCCAAATACATAAGTAAAGGTTATATGAATACACATGCCCCCTAAAAGTAACATTATAATACTCTAGAAGGGATGCTAGAAATCCTACTGTGACGAAGCTTCTTGAACGGCTCAAGCTAATAACCTACGAACGTAAATGTTGGGATTGAACAACCGAAAATGTGCCAAGAGGAGGTGAATTGGCAAATTGAAGTTTAGGAAGTAAGGAGTAAAAAAATAAGGAAATTTGTACAGCAATTTATAGTGGTTCGACTTATCAATCAAGTCTACATCCACTACCTAAGCTCCCCACTTAGGATTTTGCAACAAATCCACTAATTTGTTCTTTCTTTTTCAAGGATCAAGAGTAACCTTTACAACTCCATATCTTTTCAATTGGCTAAGATAGAACCAAAACCACTTTACAAAAGGAAAAAGATGTAATCAAGAAAACCTCTCAAAGGTAGGTGTTTACAAAGAATTAAGCTCAAAAAACCATAATTATTTACAAGAGAAAGAAAATAAAGAGTGAAAAACTCTTCTCTTGTGTTTGATTGCTTGAATATGTGTTCTAACCCTTTTTCAAGTGTCTTGAACTTGTATTTATATGTTGGAATGTGTTTGTGGCCGTTTCTAGCTGTTGGGGATGATTTGGAGCCGTTGGAGATGAAATTTTGTGCAAAATAAAACTGTCCAGTACATGGAGTATATGTACTCCTTTAATGAGTATCAGTACTTCCTTTGTTATTTTTAAATAAACTAATCGTTACTAGCCGTTGGGCCTGATCAGTATCTATACTATGCTCATGGTATCGATACTACTATAAAAAGTAGTATCGATACTCCTTTGAGTATCGATACCTATTTTGCATTCTGGAATTTGAGTTGTTTGAAAAATACTGATATTATCGATACTACCTTGAGAGTATCGATACTTCTCTTACATTTGGTATCAATACCATATGAACAATATCGGTACTATTCATGAAGTATCGATACTGTAAGAACAATATCTTTACTTTGAATTATTTTTGAAAACTTTTTAAAAAACTTTAAACAAATTCAATTTCCAAAAACATTTTGCCTTAAATTTGTTATATCAAAATATTATAAAACATAGTTCAACAATCTCCCCCTTTTTGATATAACAAAACATTTGAAAATTTTGTTTTTGGCAAAACTCCCCCTTACTCAAATATTTAATGAAAAATAGCAATGTTTGGAAAATGTTAAAGTTCCCCCTTTTTCATTCTTGAAATTGATTTTTTCAAACTCTTACTTCTCCCCCTTTTTGTTATATAAAAAATAATTCAACTTTAAAGATAAAAAATAACATTG